GGCAAGGCAACAGCACATGGCTGAACTTATCTTTAAAAGCCCCCTTTAATTGCCCATTTAGTACAAACTACTACCATCTTTCAAGAAGTATGACGTAGCTAGCTTTCCCCTCAACTCTGGGAGGAATGTGGATAAAGTAAACCTGCTGCATTGGTGAGTTCAGGGTGCAACACTAAAAGGCACTACTCTTTCAAATACTAGACTCACCCTCAGGGCAGCTGTCAGTGACATGGCTGGGAGAGCGGCAGATTCGCTAGGGCACTGAAACACTACCATCACTACAGGCCACAGCTAACTGAGCCAAAGGACAAACAGATCCAAGACAGCCACCACAACAGGGACAAGGGGCAGGCACACACGTGGGCCTTAACTCAGGATGTGACTCAATAAAAGCACGGTTCATATTCTTCCCTAACCTCATTCTCGCAAACAATCTTATCAGCCTCAAAAACCTGGGGCCAGGGTGTCTTTGCCACAGAATCTCCAAAAATACACTCAATAAAACTGTCTCAGATTATCATAGAAGGACAGAAGATAAACAAAACTCATAGGTCCTTAACTGTTACTAATCAAAAGCATGATTTGTATTTTTCTTTCTGAGTCACAGACTTAAAGCTACTTTGGCTAAAACAAAACCAAACCACAGTCCCTCTTCACTTGAACCTACAGATTCCCCAAAGGATAACTAAAAGCATGACAAAGCTGACACCACTATCTACATTTTGTATATGGTTTATTACCTAGAAACAATTTTGGAGAAAAAAAAAAGAAGAAACAAACTTTGGATGAGATCCCTGATCACTTCTGCATGTAGGCATGCTAGTCATTTAAAGACTAACTGCCTGAAAACTGGTAACACATGGTTGCCTGGTCCATTTACCTAATCACCTGGTACCCCTTCAAGATTGAGGACACCAGGATGAGAGATTTATAAAGGAGATAAAGCTGTTAACATTTACATCTTGTGACACCTCCCTAGCATGTACCTCTAGAATCACCCAGTCATTGCCCTAAATGTGCAGTCATCTCGGGGCTTAGTAGAGCCTCCTCCGAGCTGAAAGTGCCCCCAACCGAAAGAGGCTATCATTTCACTGGACATGGTAGCACATCCCTGTAATACCAGCACTTTGACAGGCTGAGGCAGAAGGATTCAAAGTTCAAGCCCATTCTGGGAAACTTAGCAAGACCCTGTCTCAAAACAAAAATTAAAGTGCTGGGGATGTAGCTTAGTGCAAAAGCTCTAGGTTCAATTTTATTTGGTGTGGGTAGGTTGCACAGTCATTCACGGAAACTGGAATGCTCCCCTCAAGGTAGTTCTTCAGAGTTGCAAAACCAGAACTGAGACAATAAGCAACCACACCCTAGCCCACCCAGCAACCTCATAAAAGCTGGTCCCTTCCCTTTGTTGAGGGGGCCAGTCTGATCGTCTCCATTACAGCTATGTCCTCTTTAGATACCCAAGCTGAAGCCCTGTTCTCATTTTCTCTTTCTTTTTTTTTTTTTTTTTTTTTTTTTTTTTTTTTTTTTTTTTTTTGCTTTTTGAGACAGGGTCTCACTATGTAGTTGCAACTGACCTGGAACTCACTATGTAGCCCAGGCTGGTCTCGAACTCACAGCGATCCTCCTGCCTCAGCCTCCTGAGTGCTGGGATTACAGGCATGCACCACCACACCTGGCTTTTTTTAATTTTCTCTTACTTTCTAACTCTGCCTAGTAAGTCCGCCTATATCTCACATTGACAGATCCTGAAACTTCTGCAATGAAAGTAAAGAACCTCTCCAGACAAGGTGAGATCCACATTCCTCTTTTTTTTTTTTCCTGGTATGGGGGATGGAACTCAGTATCTTGCCGCGTGAGGCAGGTGGCAGAACCACTGAGCTAAATCCCCATTCCTATTTAAAGGGAACTTTTTGGACCCCATCTGGTGACAAAGTCATAGACATTAAAAAACTTTCTATCTCCTGAAAAATACAGCTGAATTCAAGTAAGTCAGACAGATATGGATATTTAATAATGCAATTGTAGCCTACAGTTATCTCAAATACCCATTCATTGATTCAGACATATACTAAATGCTAACTATCCTTGGTCCCAAGAATACAAATATTAACAAAACAGTCCTGTCCTCAGGGCGTTTACATTCAACAGAACAACAATCAAGTTAAGCAGACTAATTCAATCTGTCAACTTGTATTAAAGTCTGTTATTGTGCTACCTTTTTTAGGAAACAGCTCTCAAGGAGCTCATCTAGCAAGGAGAAAAACTACAGTACTGCTTTAAAAGTTGAGCACAAGCAAGGCCAGGTGGCACATATCCCTAATCACAGCACTCTGGGAGGCTAAGGCAGGAAGACTGCAACTTCAGGCTCATCCTGAACAATTCAGTGATTTAGCAAAACCCTGTTTTGAAATTTAAATAAGAGCTACCTTTTTTTCTTTGTGGTACTAGGGGTCAAACCCAGGGGCACTCTTCTACTGAATGCCCAGTCCTTTTTAGTATTTATTTTGAGAAATGATCCCACTAAATTGCCCAAGCTGGCTACTCTCTTGACTCAATCTCCCCAATAGCTCGGATTACAGGTATGCACCACCACACATCCCTCCTTTTTCAAAATTTTAAAAAGGGAAGCTGGGGATGTAGCTCAGTGTGAAGGCCCTGAGTTCAACCCCCACCCCACTTTAGGGCTGGGTATTTAGCTCAGTAGTGCTGCCACCTGCCTTCAAGCTCAAAGACCTGAGTTTGATCCCCAGTATCAAACAAAAAAGAGAATAAACCCTTTGCGGCCTGCCTCACAAGCACAGGGTCCCAAGTTTGATCCCTGGTACAAAAAACAAAACAAAACAAACAAACAAACAAAAACCTCCCTGCCCCACAAAAAAAAAAAACTGATAAAGCTTGTTTGGCTTTGGATTTTATCTTGTCCTCTGATTTTAGCAAGGAAGGTATAGCAGTGTACACACTTTATCTTTGGGATCACCCACAGTTTGTCTATGTATCTCAGTCTTTTCAACTCGCTGAATAATGCTTGCACAGTTTAGATCTGGATTGCACCCCTAAAGCCACAATGATGAATGCTCAGTCACAGGCTGGTGCTATGCAAAGTGGTAGAAATGCAGCATTAGAGGTTTCCCCTTAAAGGAACTGGGGACCCTGGTCACTGCCTCTCCTTCTGCTCCCTGGCCAGGAGGTGAACTGTTTGTTCCGCCATGCATCCCCACCATTATGTGCTGTCACAGGCTGGGGGTGGGGGTGGGCAGGCTCACCGGTCATAGACTGAAACCTCCACAGCCATGAGCCAAAACACACCGCTTTGCTTACAAACTCTTCATCCCAGGTGCTGGTTACTATGACAGAAAACTGATGAATACCATGTCTAACATAATCTCAATATTCTTACAAACATATTTCTTTAGAACCATGTGATCCTCTTAGTTACTGACAATTTCTGATAATTACTCATTTAATTATTTCCTTTATTTCATTTTCATTAAGCAGTCCCGCTAGTAATCACTTCACAGTACCTGTTATATTTCTGGTGACCTCCTAAAAGGCCACATGGAAACTAGAAAGAGCTTAGGCCTTTCTAAGTGAGTCAGAAAGAGTGCAGATACTAGTGTGGGCATTTCTGGTTTTGTGGTGCTAGGCAACATGTTTAAACCAAGATTCTGTAAAGTGGGAGTAAACTGGGAGTAAGTAATACCCCAGGATTACTGTGATGTCGCTGTATGTCGTTAGCAAGAGAGTTACGTGTGGGCTCCAGTCTTCTTGGCCTTCAGCTGATGCTCAATCTTAGCCTGCCATTCTCTGGTAACAGTATCACCTCCAGGTGATGAAATTCAAGAAGGCTGGCAAGAACTTTAACAAGTAGCCCTCAGAGATATTTTCTATTCTCAAAACATTTTTAAAGGATTTATTAAAAAAAAAAAAGATTGATTGATTGGATTGATTTTTGGATTTTTTGAGACCAGGTTTCACTGTGTAGTTCAAAATGGCCTTAAACTCCCAGTGATGCTCCTGCCTCAGCCTCCCAAGTGCAGGGATTACAGGTGTGTACCACCATACCCACCTAAAAGGATTTAAATTATGAAGACAGCCACAATAAGACTGAAGGGTTTTTTTTTAATCACCATTAACATTTCTTAAAATTTAAGCCTAGTTGTGGTAGTTTCTTTCTGGTACATTTGTTAAGTTTTCAAATGGGCCTAACTCTGCCACATATATTGGAAGGAGCTGGCAAAGGCTTAAAGACAGAAAGATCTCTCTTGAGCTTTCGTGTATTGATATTAGCTCTTATAGTATATTTCATGCTCTTACAGTCTATCTCATAAGTCCTACAGACAGGCTTACCAATGCCTGTCTGGCGTGAGGAGAGTCTGTGCTGAGGGGTGCTTTTCCACCCCTGTGATGAATTTTCTAAAAAAAAGTAAGCCTAGCACTTTCTTTTAAATTTTATTTTGAGCCAGGCATGGTGGTGTATGGAGATAACCCCTACCTTCTTAGGCTGACACTAGAGGACTGCAAGTTTGAGCCCAGACTGGGCAATTTAGTTAGTCCCTGTCTCAAAAACAAATTTTGTTTTGTTTTTTGAATCAAATCAGAAAGAGTACAATCTGTTTTATACTGAACAAACCCAAAACTCTAACGAAGGTCATCTAGAAAAATCTATCAGTTTCTCCTTCATAATCAGTTAAATTCACCACATTTCTCAGGCTGTACTAAAACAGTACTACCGCAGGGACTTCCCACACTCATTCATAACACTCTCCATCGCGTGAAGGAAGAGACTAAAAAAAGAAAGGAGAATGAATCCACTGATGCACAAATAGTCAGTCATAAAGCCAGGCGTGGTGGTGCACACCTGGCCTATAATCCCAGCACTCGGGAGGCTGAGGGAGGAGGATCACTGTGAGTTCGAGACCAGCCTGGGCTACACAGTGAGCTCCAGGTCAGTCTCAACTACATAGTGAGACCCTGTCTCAAAAAACAAAAAAGATAGTCACCTGATAGTCTGGTTTTGTAAAATAATCCAGAGAGGAGATGTGGTCCAGAAAGACGCTGAATTCTGGAGGTAGGTGCTTCAACATGAGCCTGTGGTCATATCGCTCCTTAATGGAGCCTACTTGCTCCTGGAAAGGAAAGAGAAAATGAGCCACAGTCAATTTTCCTTGGCAGCTACACATTAAGAGCCCTTGAGTAAGAGTCTCAAGGGAATGAGGTAGTGGGTAATGAACTATAAAGCAAGACAGAAAAAGAAAGTATAAAGCCAGAACAAAGTGCTTACTAACAGTTTAATAATGCACAGTGCTTGTAAGGGGGCAAAATTGCAATGCAGAACCAGAGTAATACAAAGCTTTGCATCAAAGCAGAGTTCATGTTGGGCGAGGTGTGATGACTCACACCTGTAATCCCAGCACTCTGGGAGGCTAAGGCAAGAGGGTCACACATTTGAATCCAGCCTGGGCACTCAGCAACTAAGTGAAAAAATAAAAAAATTTTAAAAAGGGGAGCTGGGGATATAACTCAGTGTAAAGGCCTTGAGTTCAATAACTAGTACCACCCCCCAAAAGAAGTTTATCTTAAATCTGGTCTACTTTTCTTGATCAACACTTGTTTATAGTTTTCAAATCAAACAATATACTGTGACAATTAAAAACTATAAAAACTCACTTGACTTACACAGAGAGAGAGAAAACCAGTGAAGTTACAAGCTAAGGAGAGGCTAGGTGTAGGTCAGTGGCAGAGCATGAGCTCCACATGTTATGAAGCTGATAGGCCCTTGGTTCAGTCTCCAGCATCCCCAACCCAAACCAGCCACAAAAAGAAAACAAACAAACAAAAACACCTCTAGGAAGGACAGCTATACATCCAGCCACAAGAAATGACTGTATACTTATAAATCACTATCTATTCTCCATGTACATAGAAAAAGTTGCAACATTAATTAGCTCTGTAGGGTCAGCTCCCAGAAAAATATATGTGTTTGGATACAGAGACCATGCTTATAGATTTTAAGTCTTATATGTGACACATATTTTCTTTTTAAAAATTGAATGTTTTAGCCAGGCATGGTGGTGCACACCTGTAATCCCAGCACCAGAGGGCTGTGGTAGGAGGGGTACCAGGAGTTCGAGGCCAGCCTGGACTACACAGAGAGTTCAAGGTCAGCCTGAACTACAAAGCAAAGTCTTGTCTCTAAAAAAAAAAGAGTTTTAGGGCCGGGGATTTAGCTCAGTGGTTCGGTGGCCTGCCTTGCAAGTGCAAGGACCCGAGTTCAATCCCTGGTACCAAAAAAAAAAAAAAAAAAAAGTTAAAAAAAAAGTTTTAATTGATACATAAAAACAAAACTTGTACAATTAATGGCGTACTGTATGATATCTAAATATAATAAACACTGTAGTGTTTAACAAATATATTTTCAAAAAACAGTACTAAGGAGAGGTTTTTATTCTTTCCCATACCAAATTGACAATTGTTTCCAAAATTACCTTGTCCTTTATTTTCCTCCAAGGCAGCTGACCAACCACAAATTCTACTAACATGTAGAATAAAGACCAAAGGTCATCATGTCTTCCCATTTCCTTCATAAACAAAACAGAATTCAGCCACGTTATATTCCCAGTTCTTCTGACCACATTGATTAAGATGTAACCATTTTGTTTCATCTTACTAGGCCTGAAAGCTTAAATATATTTCCCATAAGATTTATTGGTTAAACATATCTATATATCTGCACAGGTATATAGCAATTTATATGGCAAAAAAAAATATATATATATATATATATCTCAACTTGTTATAAAGAACACCTTCAAACCCAGCAATGCTTGAAATAATATAATTAACTTATTAATTAATGAGTTCATTAAGCAAGGGAGGGCCAGGGATTTAGCTCAGTGGAGCCTGGCCTGCCTGGCAAGCACAAGGTCCCAAATTCAACTCCTGTACTAGTGGGGAATAAAAGAAGGGAAACTAGCTGGGCATGGTAGCACATGTCTATAACCCCAGCTACTCAGGACACTGCAATAATTTCTATAAATTTTAACTGCTACAAAAAGGACAAAATGAGTGGTTAAAAATTTTTGCTCTGAGAATTGGCTGCCACGGCCCTCCCCTTAACTGGATTTAGGAATTAAATCTGTGCGGTGTAGAAGACAAGCCCAGAAATTAGCTTCAAATCCTTCTGGGTAGACATTTCCTGCAGTGATGACAGAAGCAAAAGCGAGGCTGTCTCAGAAAATGCTTTCTTAATACATATACCTAATTAAAGACACAAATTCTTTATAAATATAATTATACTTAGCTATTATCTTTCCTGGCAAATCGAATTTTATTTTGTAAGCAGCTACACATATCTGTTACCCACTATAATCTTACTAGGCATTAGTATTAACTCTTACTATCAATGCCTTCCAAAAAAAACCAAACTTTATAACTATTAAAGAGATCCTCTGCTCAGTAGCCATTTCCATCCCCTATATTGTAAACACTCCTAATTTAACAACCATGTTAAATTTCTGTGCCAGGTCATTGACTGAATTGGTCTTTAAATGAGGAACTGTATATAGTATGTACAGAATAGGGCTGGGGATTTAGCTCAGTGGTTCTGCGGCTTGCCTCACAAGCACAAGGTCTCGAGTTTGATCCCCGGTACCAAAAAAAAAAACAAAACAATATTCAGAACAATGAAATGGTCAAAGGAAACTCCAACTTGATATCTTTGCTTTTATTTACATAACTCTTACATATAATACTGTAATGTATTACAGAACATAAAACTACAGCACTGTACTGTACAGTATAATTTACAAGTATCACATACTGTACAAAAAGGTATACTGTGTAAAAGAAAAGATACTGGGGTTCTATCCACAAGATGTACATACAGAATTGTATCAAAAAAGAGACAGGTCATACATAAGTCCAAGTGGCAGGTCTTAATCCAAACAGTTGTTAACCAGGTCATTTGGTAAACAAGGAACGTCAGCAATGTGAAGAAGGTAATGTGACTCAAGCCATAAGCTCTTATAAGATATGCTCTGACACTTACCCTGTTCCTATGAGCATTAACTGATGCATAGCGAACTGTCCCTCGAAAGCCTGCCACAGCTCGAGGCTAAAAGAAAGCCAAGCAATAATAAACCAAACAGCGACAGATTCAGCACACTTTAGTTCATGAAATAAATGAAACATATCTATTACTATCACACTAGAAAACTATTTAATTTTTATTATGAAATTACAGAAAAGGAAACTCTAAAACCACAGATTTTAAAACATCTGATGTTTTTATTAATTTTATTTTTGCTCTTTTTCTACTTAGATTTTTTTAAAAAGTTGCCACTGGGCTGGGGAAGGTGGGGGCTTGGGACTTGGTGTTAAGACCACTTGCTCAGTATGTGTAAGGTTCTGGGTTTAATGTCCAGTACCCCCACCTATAAAAGGCAACATTTATGATCCATACACAACTGCGTACATTGAAGACTTTACATGCTTTCACAGTACACACATCCTATCATAGTATACACATTAGCATTCAGGCTTGGATACAAATACATTAGAAAGACTATAAGGAAACACTAAATAACCTACATATTCAAACTCAATTCAAATTATTGTAGACATAACTTACACGTTCAGAATTCAAGTTACTGTGTGCTCAGTATGTCCCTGATACTAAGAATAAAGGTGAACATGAATAACACGATCTAACACTTAGAGGGTACAACTGTGAATAAAGTCCAAACACTTCTACCAGACTTTCCGTGGCCTGGCTCTCTGTACAGTGGGCCCACTGTGACTTCTACCACCCATTTGTTTCTAGCTCAAGGCTGTGCAGATGCTAGTCTTCAGATGCCATCACCTGCATATCTTTCTGGCTAGCAATTCCCTATCAAAGCCTCTGTTTATGTTACCTCCTTGGAGAAATAGTCCTTAATCAATCTAACCTAAAATACTATTCCCCACCTGCACTGCCACTCTGTTCTTTTATACCTGCCATAGTAACATGTTTTTACTAACCCAACTCTATTTTATTTATCTTCTTTATTTTATCACCTGCTGTTTGCTTATATTTTAAATTTATTGTCTATCTTCTATTCCACAGGATATAAACTGTGTGAAAACAAGGTCTCTGTCTTACTCATTTTATAGTAGGTGATAAAACCAGGGATCAATTAAGGCTTTTCAGCTTAAAATTATATGTTGTTTCCATTCTGTTGCTTTACAAGGATGAAGTCAGCACCCCGAAGAGTCAAAAGTGGCACAGTATGAAAAAGTGATAGGGCCAGAGATTTAGCTCAGTGGTACCACTGCCTGCCTCACAAGCTCAAGGTCTGGAGTTCGATTCCCGTTACAAAAAAAAAAAAAAAAAAAAAAAA